TCATTTTTCTGAAGAAGGGTCCAGACCCAAAATGTCAGCTTTCCTGCTCCTCTGATGCTGCTTGGCCTGCTGTGTTCATCCAGCTCTACACCTTGTTATCTCAGATTCTCCAGGATTGGCGTTCCCACCATCTCTGAATCAAGTTTTTTTTTTTGAGCTGTTTGCAGGTAGCTGCTTTGGTTTTTGATGTTTTTAAAAATATTATCGAATATATCTATTTTGATGTGTAACTTTCAAATTTTTGTTCAGTTTTGTCTTTCAGTTTTGATCTACCAAACAATCGCAAACAGGTCTACATTTATATGTGATCTTCATTCACCCTGCAGCATTGTTGTCAGTGCATCTATTCAATTCAGACAGTAAGATTTTTTCATTTACTGACTCTGTGTGTGTGTGTGTGTGTGTGTGTGTGTGCGCGCGCGCGCTCGTGCTCGTGCTGAAAACTGATTCAGAAGTCTTTTTTCACAGTTGTGCTTTTTAGGATGTAGACTAGGTTATGGGCATTCTAAACCTTGTGCACTGGGACCTATGCACAATTTCTAGAACTTTATCAAATTAATTTCAGACCTCTATCATTGTAGCAAATAACTTTGCTGTGTTTTTCTATGTTCTGTAGTAGGGGTCAGTGTGGACTAGTTGGATCAAAGGGTCTGTTTCCATGCTGTATACTCTGACATGAAAATCAGCTTTGAATCTATTTTTTTTTTTTGAAAATGTCTCTCCTGATGAAGTCACTTGTGTTGGGGTATGATTCCATTGATGCAGGTTTCTCAGCAACATTGGGGATAGGGAGCCTGGACACTGAATGTCAGCTGGGTACTTAATCATGTGGAAGGGATCATAGGTGAATCTGATCCTGTGCTCACCACATGTGTATTTCCAGCAGGCATTGTTGGATACAAAGCTTAAATCATCTCTTATTTTCTTCTCCTTAAAGTGGGGACTATGTGGCTTATTTAACAATATCACTTTTTGGTTGACCATAGATCAAATGTAGGACATTCCTACTCTGTAGGACTTGATTAATATGTTTGATGTACTCATCTACTGAACGATTGGTAGCTTAGAGTTACTGATAAAAATTCTGAGTAACTGACAAAAACATGCATTAATCTATTTAATCGTAAGAAGTATTGGACTTCTCTAAGAAGCGGCTAAACATGTGACAATGGTAATGCACCTTGGCTAAGTGAGGAGAGTATCAGTGAAAGACTAATTCCTTTTATTTCTCTCAATTAATTTAAACCCAGATTTCGATACTGCATTCAGTTACTGCGCCAATTAATAATGTATTCTCCCTACAGCAGAGTCACTTAATCAATATTTTACTTGTTTTCGTGGTGGAGGAGACTAGTGCCATCCCAATAATAACAGGGAATATAGAAGTTATAGAAAGAGAGGAACTTGGAACAATCCTCATCACTAGGGAAAACCTACAGAGGAAACTACTCCGATTGAAGGCAGATAAAATCCCAGGCCTGATGGCCTACAGTCTAGGGTCCTGAAGGAAATGACAGTGGAGACAGTGTATCCATTTCTTATAATATTCCAAACTTCCCTGGATGTGTGAAAGGTTCCAGTAGATTAGAAAAATGCTAATATAACACCCTGATTCAAAAATGGATGCAGGCAGAAAGTAGGAAACTATAAACTTGTTAGTTTAACATCTGTCATTGGGAAATTGTTAAAATCCATTCCTTAGTAAGTAATAGAACATTTGGAAAGTCAATATGCAGTTTATCAGCATGGTTTTATGAAGAGAAAATTATATTTGACTAATTCACTAGAGTCCTTTTGAAGATGTAACAAACGGTGGATATTGGGGATCCTGTTAGTGTAGTATATCTGGACTTCCAGAAGGCATTTGATAACTTGTGTAGTAATCTTTGGTGCATCACTTTAAGATCACATGGAGTTAGGGGTAATATGTTAGCTTGGATGGAGTATTGGCTAACCAGTTGAAGCCTTGTCTAGTTGGCAAGACAGACCTAGTGGGGTGCCACAGGGTTTGGCTCTCGGGCCCCAACTATTTACAATCTATATTAATGACTTGGTTGCAAGGACAGAAGGTACTATAGATAAATTTGCCAATGACACTATAATAGGTGGGAAAGTAAGCAGTAAAGAAATAAGAAATTTACAAATGGATATGGATACGTTAGGTGAATGGGTCAAAATTTAGCAGATGGAGTTTAATGCAGGTAAGTGTAAGGTAATCCATTTTGGTTAGAAGAATAGAAAGCCAACTTGTTATTAAATGGAGAGAAGCTTCAGTGCAGAGATCCTCATGAATGATTTATAGAAAGGTAGTACACTAGAACAGTATATAATAAGGAAAGCAAATGGAATTTCTGCATATTATGGCCAATCATATGCTTTCTCTACATTAGACTAAAAATGAAAAGACATATCAATCGGATTTCTTTAGGAAATACAATATTATTAATGTACTATGGAGCAAAGCTTATTCAATGATGATTCAAAACTGGTTAACACACTTCATTTGTAATATGAAAATATAAATGTTTATCCCCTCCAAATAACCAAACCTGCCTCGCTTGCTCACTCACTCACACACTGAAGGGAGGAAAAGATTTCTCCCTGCAGAGATTCACCTTTGGTGGGAAAAACCCTTTTCTCCAATAAGTTTTCATTCTTGAAGCATAAGTGATAAGGATTGAGTTGTTCAGTTGGTTGTCATCCTAATGTTCCAGCATGTGTAGACATGTGGCAGCTCCATCTCCAGAATCTTGGCAGAATACAACTTGTTCAGGATCAACAAGTCTTCCAGAGGACAATCTGAGGTTCATACTGATGAGAAACAGGAGACGTGAACTGAGCAGCTCCTTTCCTACAGCAAGCTTTGCAACTGAAGATCCAAGCTTGTGAAATACTACTCAATCAGGAAAGCCATAAAACCAGATAGTTTAAAAAAGTGTTTTCCCAGAAGTGAGCTCAAGTTGCAAAGACCTACAATTATCTATGTGGTTTTGGCTTCTTTTTTAAAAAATCCAGTTAAGCACAAGCCTCCAAACTCAAGTCCTAAAATATTACTACATGTCAAACCATAATAACAATTTTTTTCCTTGTGATGTGGGTACTACTGGCATCTATTGCTTATCTTTAACTGGGAGACCACTCCACTTCTTTAAATGATGGCAGAAAATCTTTAATACCCATCTCAACAAACACAGGAGCAGACAAAGCCCGGATTTAAAATCTCAACTGAATTATGACACGTCTGCAACTCCAACTGAAGTGTCAACCTAGATTGTGCCCAAAGGGCCAGTTTCAACCTCACTGCGACCATTCCCAGGAGTCTCAGCGGGATTGAATCTCAATCTACCACTTTGCTGCCTTCTATTGGAGACAATGATCCATCTTTCGAGAGATGATGCCAATTCAGATGGTCAACAGCTGTTTAGGCTTGGCAGCACTGCAGTCCACGGGAAGATTAACTAACAGAAAACAGTTAGGGAAATGGGTCATTTTTCAGCATGTTCAACTCTAATTATTAATGTGTCAGAGGCATCAGACTTTTAATGGTGTGACTAGAAAAGACGAAAGTGGAGGATGGTGAGAACACAGAAAACAAATTGGTCCATCTGCCTACAGAAGGACCAGGCCCAGCAAGGGACTTGAAAATTTCATCCAGATGCTGTCATTGCCAGGGATTGTTTGTGCTGAGCCCTTCTAACCCAGGAGAATTTTATGGTCTGGACCTCACTTTCACCTTCCGGTATGAACCCTTGCATTGAACATGCACATTGGAATAGATTCACTGTTACCATTAATAAATGATATCCATCTGTTCATAGTTTTCCCTGTTTCACCGATCAACCCTCTGCCCCGACACCATCGGATTGGGGCTGCTAATGTGGTCCAATCAGGGAATGCATGTTCTATGAGGTCCCACCTGGCTGACCTCGTTACAATTACTACATTCCTCTCCCTCTGAGTCCGAGGATATAGGCCAGTTCGTGTTTTCTTTTGTAGCTCCTCCTGAGGTGTTTTAGCAGCAGGCCAGGTTCTTCCAAATCTGCCAAAGGATGGTGGCTCAATGTATCTGCATTTGCTATTTGGCCTCCCGGACAGTGTACCGATTTGTAAATATACACACTTAGTTTTAGAGCCCACTGTTGAATTCGGCCTGAAGCTATTAGTGGCACTGCCTTGTCCTCTTTAAGTAGACCTAGTAGGGGTTTGTGGTCCGTTATTATTACAAATTTTCATCCATAAAAGGTATTGGTGTAGCCTCCTGACTCCAAATATGAGTGCCAAACTTTTCTTCTCTATCTCCGTGTATGTACTCTCTGCATTAGCCAAAGTCAGGGATTCATATGCTGTTGGGTGTTCCTCACCATTGGGCCACCTATGAGTTAATACTACCCTGATGCCTTACAGGGAGGCATTGCATGTCAATACGATACAATCTTGCTTGGGATCATTAAAGTGCCAACACCTTAGGGGATGATAACTGTTTCTTCACTTCCCTGAAAGCTATGGCTTGGCTACGCCACCATTTCCAAGGCTGACCCTTGTTTACGAGTTGATGTAAAGGTGCCATGTTGGAGGCCAGGTTATGTATGAACTTTCAATAATAATTCACCTACTCAAGGAAAGAACTAAGCTCTGGTACGGATGTGGGAGCCAGGGCACCTTTGATTGCCCTCAACTTTTTCACCGGTTCAAACCCAGTCTTGTTGACTCTGCAGCCCAAGTAGATCACTTAGGGTGTCTGGAACACACATTTTTTCCCTTCTAAGGCATACATCTGTCTGGGAAAAATGTTTAAGAACTATGTCCAAGTTGTCGAAGTGCTCCATATTGGTCTTTCCTGTTATTAACTTGTCATCTAGGTAAATAGCTACCTGAGATAAGACCTTGTAAAATGTTCTCCATTGTCTGCTGAAAAGTTGCACAGGCTGATGATACCCCAAATGGCAGTCTCATATATTGGTACAAATCCTTGGGGGTATTAATTAAAGCATAATTCTGGGATACCTCCTGTAACAGCAATTGCAAGTACGCATGGTTCGTGTCCAGCTTCATGAATGACAGCCCACCTGCCAGTTTTGTGTATGAATCCTCTGAGAGATTAGGTAGTATCAAGCTGTGTAAAATGGGTTACCATTTGTTTAAAATCCTCAAAGGTGAACCAACCCATCAGGCTTCACAATCGGTATAACCGGTGCTGCCCATTCTGCAAACTTTACCAATTTAATGATTCCTCTGCTTCTCAGCCTCCTGGTTTCTGCCTCTGCTTTTTCCTGTAAGGCAAATGGCACTGGATGGGTGTTGCAGAATCGTGGAATTGCTTCCTGGTCAACATGCAGTGTGGCCTTGGCTCCTTTGATAG